TGAAATTAAGTTTTTGGGTGTTGTCATTGATGACAAATTGACGTGGAAACATCACATAAATTATGTAAGGATTAAGATAGCCAAATCTATTGCTGTATTATACAAAGTCAGGAACTTGTTAAATGATAAAGCCCTGTATTTATTATATAACACAATTATTGTCCCACATATAATTTATTGTATTGATGTTCTGGGAAAAGCATGTAAAACATTTACGGAACCTGTTTTCTTGCTGCAGAAAAGAGCAGTAAGAATAATCACTAGAAAACATTACTGTCACCCATCTAGCACATTATTTCATCAACTGAAAATATTGAAGTTCCCTGACCTGGTGGATTATAATATTTTACTAGTTATGTATAGAGCTCATATAAATGAACTACCTGTGAATATCCAAATATATTTCATTAAGCGACAAAGCTGTTATAATCTCAAGGGAAAGGAAATATTTGTTAAACCAAGATATAGAACCAGTTTGAAGGGTCGGTCAACCTCAATCCAGGGAATTAGATTGTGGAATGGTTTGAAAACTGAAGTGAAAAATGCAAAAACAACGATTACTTTTAAGAAAAAAATTAAAAATGGACTTCTGCAAAAATATATATGAAATACTGTTATGTATGTTGCATTATAGTTCGAAAATTATAGTGAATTGTTCTTTTTTTTGTTTGTTTAGGTACTTACAGATGATTGTTGTTTGATTTGAATTATTGTAAGAGGGGGCAGATAAAATAAGATTTTTTTTCTTCCTTCTGCTACCCTTGATTTTATTTATATATTATATAAACTTAGTTTGCATTATTGTTTTCTTTTTGTGTTGTATTTTAAAATGAATAAATTAAAAAAAAAAAAAAAGCTGCTCTTTTTTTAGAGATTTAATGCTCTCTTCTTTTCTAAGGTCAAGATTTTCTTTTGAGACTTTTCGTTTTCCTGCATTGTGTTGCTTAATTAAATCGTCTCTATCCTGTTGCCATTTCCTTTTGAGTTTGGATTCTTCCTCTCTTAATTTAGCATTTTCTGCTTTGTACTTAATTATCTGGTTCTTAAGTTCAGCTTCAGCATCCTTGAACTTTATAAGCTCCTCCTGGAGCGCAGCATTTTTTTTATCGAAACATTTTCCGATGTCTTGATGCGTTGGTTTTAGTTGAAAAATGGATCCACTCGCAGTTGGTGTGCACTGAAATGAAGAATTTTCAAACAAGAAAACTATTTCAGTCACAGAATCGGTAAACACTTTTAAAACTTAGTGGGTATGTTTACATGGACATAAGTAACCGGATCAAATGGCCGGTCGGAATAAAAGTGTGTCATGTAAACGCTCCGTTCGGGTTATTTTTTGTGTATTCGGCGCGATCCGTTATAATTTCTGATCAGAACGAAACGGGTGGTTTACGCCGATCCGAAACCCGATCGGTGCGCATGTAAACGCTTGATCTGTTCATTTTTATCTGATGGTGAAAAACTGACCTGACTGCGCATGTGCGACTTTGCCATTTCCGCCTGGCTAACGCTAATAATATTAGCATGTCAGGGAAGTAAAACTGGTCGGTGAGCGACACAACATTTCTACTAGAAACTTTTAAAGAGCTCAAAATGATTTATATTACCTGTAGCTCAGTCAGGGAGTGCAATAACGTCTCCAACATCATTAAAACCAGTCGCGGGTCCATTTTGGGTGCTCAGGTTTGTTTACGTTCACCCGGAAGTAGAACTTCTTCTTCGGTGTTTTTTTTAAGGAGAGTTTACCACTCTGCGCATGTCAGTACTGCTGTTCAGAACAAAGCCCGCTGCATGTAAACGCTCATCATGAACAGATTGTGCCCATGTAAACAACACATTTGAATTATTCAAACAGAACACATTTCAATCCGGTCAGAGAATTCTGCGCATGTAAACATAGCAAGTGTTTGCCCATGTTTCACTCTGAAATGACAAATATGAGCTCTCTTAAATTTAAAAACTAAAATATGATGCCGGTTTGTGACGTCATCACATTATACCTTTTTGTACGTAATTTTCTGTGGTCCTTTGAAGATTCAGGCAAGCAGGTATCACTGACATAATCATATGACATCTTTTTACGTAATTTCTATGGTCCCTTGATATTTCGTTCTCTGTATGAATTTATTTTGAATGTAACTTACTGTAGTTGTGATGATGCCTTTCATTTGAATTGTGTCAGATTTTTTTCAACACACTGCACAAGCAACAGCTGATAATATTAATGAAATTTAAAATATTTGGGGGATGACACAGTGAACGAATTCATACTAGATTTGACAAATCGATCAATTTCTGTTGACAGTAGCACTGTTTCGCACTATGTTGATAGGCAGAAGGGTGACACTAGCAGATACCAATGCGCATGCGTAAACTCTGCCAGCACGTTCTTCTTCTTCGTTTTATATCACGTAGATGCCTCGTTGAGCATACTGGCCAATTGGAGTGTCAGAGTGAATACGGGTTAAAAATCTGCTCCTGTCGAGACTGGCTCCTTTTGAGTAAGATAAAGCGAGAACATTTTTCTCCAACAAAAACCTAACCAGAATTACAGCAATAACTAATGTGCTATAAGAGTGGCGGCTCTCTGTAGGGGGCGCTACAATGCCTTAGTACCCCCCCCCCCCCCCCCCACACACACACACTGAAACCACTGACCATTTTACATTGAAGACTTAAAAATATGTAAGCAAAATGAAATGATAAAATAAAAATATTTTTGAAATGCATTGTACATATGTTTTTGTTGTGTAAGGTAAATAT